ATTTAACTTTACACATACACTCGCACAGCCTCAGTAAAAGGAATGATACTACACGTGTTTGAGGACTGCTCAATTCATCTGTGTAACCCCAGTTCTCCCCTCTACTGCAACCAGTGGGTACATCTCCACAAGATGTTTACTACACAGTAGAATAGTTAGCTGTGCAGTAAATACATTGGTGTCTACACATGCACCTCTGTTAGGCTGGAGTAAACCAATTTACTCTACAGCAGGATAGCATCTGTATTTACAAGTATTATCCTGCTGTGGAGTAGAAGAAGAAAAAACAAAACAAAAACTCTGCAGCAGTGCACATGTAGACGCTGTTCCAGCTAGCAGGGGCACAAGGGTGCTTCAGTGTGGAGGTTGCCTGCCAACTATCCCCACATTGAAAACACCTTCATGCCCCAGCCAGCCCCTCCATAGCACATTGAGCCACAGGGAGCAGCCTGGGCTGGCAGGCTCTAAGCCCCCTGCCAGCCAGGGAGGCTCTGACCTAGCTCAATATGCTGCACTCCCAGGAACACATTCAAATGTCAATACACTCCAGAGCTTATTGTTTTGTGTTAATTGCACATGTAGACATGCAATTACCTAAAGACAGTGAGTACCTAAATGCTTTTTTTCCCACCTCCCTGCATCATCCCTTATGATACAGGATGCTTCATCTACATCTCCCAAAACAAAGAAACTGTAAAAACAGTACTTATAAAATCCAATTTCAAGAACAAGCCATCATGAAATAAAGTTCTATAACAAAAGCCAAACTTTTTAAAGTTTGATTGCCTAATAGTGCTAGCTCCAAACAGGCCTGTATGTCTATGGAGCACTCTGGTATGTTGTGTAGCTATACTAGGTTGGATCCTGGAAGCAGTATGGTTGTATCAAACAGAACTCCATCTGAATTAGTTGGTCCATGCCACTGCAGTTATACTGCTTCCGATTCTGGATCCAACACAAGCATCTCTCCACACTGAGACATTGCACCATGTGGGCACACCATATATGGCAAGGGATCTGCAGACTTCTTTTCTTTTTCCTATTGAAATCCAAAAGAAAACCTAAGGAAAATAAAGTGCTGGCTCCCTAGAGGGCTGCTGGCAAGAGGGCTGCTGACCTGCCCCTTGCTGCTGATTGGCTGTGAGGGCTGCTTGTCATGTGGCCTGGCCCCTCTCCAATCGGCAGTGAGTGGCAGGCCTGCATGACAGACAGCCCTTGCAGCCAGTCAGTGATGAGGGGCAGGGCCGCATGGTAAGCAGCCTGCATAGCTATCATCTGAGTGGCAGGGGCACCAGGGCCCCCCGGCCAGAGCCATGGGGAGTGGGGGACAGGTTGCCTGTTGTTTTCTGCCTGCAAAGTGGCTGCCAGGCCCTCCTTGTGACCCCTAAAATCAGGGGGCAGCCCCCTCAAATTTGGTAGGTCCTGATATATGGCCCTCATTTAGTATCATCAGGTCACATCACAAGTGACAAAGTATATCTGTCCTGCGAGATGTGGTAGAATTATTTCCCCCCCACTTCATTCAGATATTTCCAGGAGCAATGATTTGAAACCAACTCTCCCATATCCCAGGAAAGTGGGATAACCACCAGGCTGCAAATTCAAAGCATCTCCTTCTCCCCATCTGGCCCAAAGAATATTTATAGAAAGTGGAACAATTCCCATATGCAAAGTTAAGGAAATCCTACCCTAGAATAGTGGAGGGGTTTGAGTACTGTTTTGGAATATGGGATAAGTTTGAGCCTCCTCAGAAAGAGGCAGAAATTGACCCTGCATCTATCACATCCTGGATGAACACAGGCCCCAGTCCAGTAGGTGTGCTCTAGGACTGCCTACTGGATTGGTCCTGAAGGCATCAACTCCCCTATTTTGTGGATACCGATAGGATTTATACACAAGCTAGGTACACAGCCACTTGGTGCCATCCAAATGTACACAGCTTTAGACATACTTAAAGAACTTTAGCTGGTGTATCTAGGGCAAGGGGGGTGCTTAACAGGGGTTTAGAGGATCAACATTTGGGACTTGGGCTCATAAAGTAGCAGTTTCCTCACTTCAGGCAGCTTCCCACATCATGTGCTGGCTATTGTGGATCCCACTTTTAGACTTTTAAGAGTATGTCTATCTGCTTTCATGGCACTCCTAGGGCACCACTCTAAAGCATGACCTGTCCCCCAACCTCTCCCCACTACTCCAAGGGTGGCTCCCACTGTTGTTGATTGTGGCCCTGTGGGATCCCCTCCACAATGTCTTCCTCTTCTTATTTCCAAGTTTGACAATACGCAGAACCAGAGGCAGCAGTGGATGATAAAGCACCAGAAAAAATAGTTGCCAAGATTCATAGTACACATTATATGGAAATCTACAATCTAATTAAAAATGGTGATTTTACTTGATTTTAGTCATCCTGCATATAGTATTTTAAACAGAGGATTTCAGTAACCTGATCCTGTTGATGTAGGCTTGAGTGATCTACCCAAGATGGACAGCAGAGAATTAAAATCTTTATCTCCCAAGCTGCAGACTCTGACCCTGCAAAATCTGAGCTACCCCTCTTCCATGATCCTCAAATCACAGAATCCTTCCTCTACTTTAAGTTCAACATCTTGGTGAAACTATGGGATAGAGAAACTTAAAAATAGGGCTCCGACTTGAGATGGGAAAGGAATGGGAGAATTTTACGCTTACCAAAATCAATATAGAGAGCTGTTCCAAACAAATGTAGTTACGTAAATTCCAGAAGTACTGTCTTAAAGACTCTTCTTTTTGTAAGAAATACCATCATGTTTCTGATGCCTTTCATTATGAAAGGTCATAGGATAGTAATACATCTCCGAAAACATCCTTGCCCCAGAACAATAGTTTCAATTCTTTCTAACAATCTTTTTAAGGATTCTGAAACTAAGAAAGAATCAGAGCAACTTGATGCTAAATTTTAGCCTTGGTAATATCAATAGCTAGGATTTCCAACAACAATAGGAATGTTGCTTTCTCTTTCACTTTGGACAACAGCCGCGGTATTTGCTTTATCCTACAGTTTGCAGCTATGTTACAAACTATTTATTTTATTGGAAGTCATCAAATGTTCTGCATATTTCCTTTGTGGATATTTAAAAACAAAGTACATTGCTGCAAGAAATATGGCTGAAGAACTTTAGATGTTTCAAAGTCATTTAATTTACTATAAACTTAAGAATGAGAGCATAGCAGTATATGCAAATACATGTTAATGGTGCACATCAAATTATCCTGTTTACTGGAAAATAAAAGTTTCCCCTCCAATTAGCATGGGGCAAAAGCCCCTTGTCTTATATTTGCATACAAAATAGAGTCGGGGGGGGTAGGGAGTGGGAGAAAGAGGAGCAGGTAGCTACTACAGCTCTGACTCTGGCCCTGAGCCTGGGTCAGAGTCAGTGTCAGACCCACAGCAGCTTCCTGCCCTCTCTTCTGCAGCTTCTGCCCCCCCTGGCCTCCTGCACCCCACTCCCACCCTCTTACTGTCAGGCACACCTCAACTTCAGGTTGGGCTAGAGTGTCACCTGGGCACAGACCACATGGAAACTGCTTACCCTGTCCAGCCAACTCAGCAACACCAACACTGCTGCATTGCCTGCCTGGCCAAATCAGCAATGCCAATACTGCTGCATGGCCAGGCAAGGGCTGGACTTCCATGTGCTGTGCTCGTGGACAAAGCAGTCCAAGGAGTTTCTGACAGTAAAAAGGGAGGCAAAGTCTGGGGAGTTGGGGAGGCAGGACGGGGCAGAGACTGGAGAGGTGCAGGAAGGCTGCAGGTGGGGGGAGGGGGGGGGAGGCAGAAGGCAGAGGGGCTACCTGGCCCTCCCCTGCACTCCAGCCACTGCTTTCTCTGTTGTAGCAGACGGGTGATCCTGACACCCCTCCTAGCTTGGCAGGTGCCCTTCTTGTGCAGCCCTAGTTATGTTACTGTTTTGGTGTCTTTGTCCTATGCTGTACTGAAGAAGAACAGCATTCTGTAAGGTCCTGTGAGCTCTAGGTTTCCCACTGGCCTAGATTCTGACACCTTCACACAGAATTACACCTCACTCTGGAAACCATCCTACTGATTTCAGAGTCAGATATTATCCAGAATGACTAGGGGTTGGAGAACCTAAACATCTGCAGCAAGATTTGGCAAAACTGACTAGCTTTATTCCAAAACTGTGATCCAAATGTCAGCTGTTACTTAATCCCATTAATCGTTTCCCACCTTGATTTTAGACGTTGCTAGCTCAGAACTACCCCTGTTCAAGTAGCCAGAAACCAATCAAGACTCCAGAAATAAAGAGGTTCCTTTACCTCAGCTTCCCAAGGAGCTCAATCCAGTAATGTTCTCAGAGCCTGCTTAACAATGATGAGATTAGGCAAAATAAAAGTTGTAGCTCCTTATTTTACAAATAGGTTGTGGTAGTACTAGCATCAGCCTTATGTAGTAGCCTGTTTACAGCACTCACCCAGGGATCTCTCAGAATCAGGCCCTATATAATCATCACCTGCTTGAAAGTGGTCTTTTTATAACAGCATGTAGTTCATCATGAACAACAAACAAGACAGCATTTATATAATAACAGAACATCACTCAATATCAGAAAGGACAAAAAAATGCAGCTCTCTCTAAAGAACAGAAAAAAGAAATCAAGCCCTAACCATTCTTCTGAGGAGGAAGTGGTTAAAACTCACTAGACAATGGACATCCAAGATAAATGTCTTAATTGTACTCATTTTGTGAGGTTTTATTTATTTAACTGTGAAGCAAGATGGACAGAAAGTAATATAGGTTTCAGCTTTGAATTTAACTGCTTTTGAGGTGTTAACCTGATTCTTGCCCTTAGCCCAATCTTCTTGCCCTTAGCCCTGATTCTTGCCCTTAGCCCAATGCCTTAGATCCATACTTGTCGTCAGGATCTTGCCTAGTCATACTAATGCTGTTTTTGGCAGCGTAATCTAAGGAGTCTTTGGTTCCAAGTGTAAATTGTCGTACATACCTGCCTTCCAGCCTCATTATTGTGCAGATTCATTGCCAGTAGTCCACTCCCATCTTTTCCAGTTATGTTCTTGGTAGGGCCATCTAGGAACTTTTTGCTAAATGACATTCCATAATGAATATCATCAGAGCAGCCACCCCAGTGCCAGCCTTCACTGGCTGAGCCACCATTCTGCAATTTGGTATCGCAAGAGCATTCAGTCATATTTCCTGCACTGCATGATCGAGTCACAGAATGCACAAGGCCTGCTGCTGTCACTGCATATATAAATGCAGTCTCCTTGGTGCCTATAAAAGAATGCATGGAAATGTTAATTTAGATATGAACCACACCATCCTTTTGCTACTTTTCACAGCTGGCTTTTAGGAGCAAAATCTCATAAGGTATTTATTCAATGGAAATAAATGTACTCTCCAGGATCATTATAACCCAGTTCATGAAGTTACTTTGTTTTAATGGAGTGGCCACTCACACCCAACAAGACTTCATGGATATATGAAAAGAGACTATTCATACAAGTTAGATGATGTTTTGCAGGGTTGCGTCATTAATTTTATGTTACTACAAAATCATCTAGAGTGCATGTTATTTTGGTAACTACTTGAAGAACTAGTCAGAAAATGGATTTTTCTTGCCATAGACAATTTCAAAAATATGTTCCAATGGAAAATGCTTTTGCTACCTACACTGCTTTTCACCATTAATATTCATTTGAATACGTAAAAAGAGATGCTTCCGATTAAGGAGAGACGCCAAGCTTTGAATGCCTTTGTACCAAGCTAGACCCTACTATCCTGAGTGAACAACCTGGAAGCTGTTCCAATTATAACAAAAGTTGCGGGAAGTTGAAAATACAACTATGAGAGCTACATGGGTATTTTGATCACAAATCTGTTAGTCTACTATGCTGGAGGGAAAGCATAAAAATCCTGGGGCTACCTTTGTCCTAGTGGAAGCTTATCCGTATGCCAAGGTGACCCTATAATTTAAAAAAGTGTCTACAGGATCACTGTCTTCATTTTGGGTCCATGGGACTAGTCACACAGATTAAAGCTTCTTTTAAACAGATGTCCTTGAAGCATCCTTTCAGAATTTGCAACAATGTTTTACTTATATTTTGTTAATTGCTTCATTATATTACACCAGAGTTAATATTACATAGAAACAAAATGCAGTCTTGAAATATTAAATGAGGACCTCATCGTTATCTCTGGAAGTCCCTTCCAGCCCTACTTCTGCAAGATTCTAACAGAGCTGGGTGTACTGGTGCCTTGTATGAACAGCATAAAGATGTAAACACTTGAAGCAATGCGATTATACTTAAAATACACTGTAGTAAAGCTTATGTTACAATAATCTAGATGAATTCTTAATGAACTGTTAGCCCAAAGCAGCAGCCCTCTGTAACAATGCAAATCACACACATACCTGACAGTTTGCAGAAGCATTTGCATGGAGGTCAGTGAGGCACTACATGGCTTTAGCATGCAGGAGGTGCTTCCTGCAACACCAAGTCCTGTGATATTTGCACCTAATATAAGCAACTTGCCCCTACTCTGGGCTTCATATAGTCAGTTTCCACTGCCTTTGCATACAGGTAAGGACAGGCTCCTGTTTAAAGGTCTCACTTACCCGAGGCCTTAAATGACAGGTACAGAGAATAGCTTTTATATATTTAACATTACTAAGGTATTTGATTGGTAGCATCGTTAAGTGGTACAACTGCATTGGAAGCAAACCGACATACAAGTCCATCATCAAACGTCTGCTTTTCCTTATTTGTATTGGGGGGATAAAAAGTGGGAAGACAAAAAAAAATGCCAAACACAGGGGTGCTGGAGCACACAGGACTGGCACACTTACAAACCACTAATCAAGAAGAGGTTGCTCTGGCTCCGGTGTCAGGAGGATGGGAGAAGACCATACCCCCAGGAATATTTTGCGCAGCACAATTTCAGAGGACCTAGAAAGTCGGGACAACCTTTACGGCAGTACAGGTTTCCCTCAACAACCACGGGTTCGAGTATCCACACTTAATACTCTGCATACCATTTTGGCTACCACAGTATACAGTTTGGAGCAGCCACGGTTTTCTGTGGCTGTACATCAGCCCACCACTTGCCATTTCCACCCCTAAGCCATTACGTCTTGCCAAGCACAGGATCCTGAGCCCCGCAGTTGGCCAGGGAAACCTGTGCCCTGATGTGTGTGAAGATGTGAAGTTGTTCAGCAACCAGGCACGCGCTGGGAGCAGCGCGGGGACCCGGCGGGCCGGGCTGGCACTGGGTGCCGCTCAGCACCACGCCGGTCGCCCAGAGGGCGGAAGCAGCAAACCCGGCCTCCACCTCGCAGCACAGGCGGCTCCGTGACACCTGCCACAACCCGCGTGGCTCCGGCCACCAGCGGCTTCCTCAGCCCCCGCC